TCTCCATCTATCCATCTCTCTATATCCCTCTATCTCTGTCTCTCTCTTTCTCTATCTATCTATCTATCTCTCTATCTCTTTATCTCTCTCTCTCTCTCTCTGTCTATTTGTCTATCTATCTTGCTCTCTCTCTCTCTCTCTCTCTCTATCTATCTATCTATCTCTTTCTCTATCTCTTTCTATCTTGACTTCGGTACTACTTTCGGACTTAAAAGTTGCGATTTTCGAGCCCCAGCTGCGAAAGTGGACTTCACGTACTACTTTCGTACTTAAAAGTTGCGATTTTCAAGCCTCAGCTGCGAAAGTGTCACGTACTACTTTCGTACTTAAAAGTTGCGATTTTCGAGCCCCAGAAAGTCGACTTCGCGTACTACTTTCGTACTGAAAAGTTGCGATTTTCAAGCCCGGCTGCGAAAGTGGACTTCGCGCACTACTTTCGCACTTAAAAGGCGCATCACCTTCGCAAGGTCAACTTTTCTCAAGGATTGAATTGCGTGGCAGGCGCGACACTTTCGAAAGCTCAGGTGCAGATGTCGTGGCAGGCGCAGCACTTTCGCAAGGTCAAGTGCATATTTCGTGGCAGGTGCGGCACTTTCGCAAGATCAAGTAAAGATTTCGTGGCAGGCGCAGCACTTTCGCAAGGTCAATCATAGATTTCGTGGCAGGCGCATCACTTTCGCAAGGTCATGTACATATTTCGTGGCAGGTGCAGCACTTTCGCAAGGTCAAGTGCAAAATTCGCGGCAGGCGCATCATTTTCGCAAGGTCAAGTACAGATTTCGTGGCAGGTGCAGCACTTTCGCAAGGTCAAGTGCAAAATTCGTGGCAGGCGCATCACTTTCGCAAGGTCAAGTACAGATTTCGTGGCAGGTGCAGCACTTTCGCAAGGTCAAGCGCAAAATTCGTGGCAGGCGCATCACTTTCGCAAGGTCAAGTGCAGAATTCGTGGCAGGTGCAGCACTTTCGCAAGGTCAAGTGCAAAATTCGTGGCAGGCGCATCACTTTCGCAAGGTCAAGTACAGATTTCGTGGCAGGCGCAGCACTTTCGCAAGGTCAAGTGCATATTTCGTGGCAGGCGCAGCACTTTTGCAAGGTCAACTTTCGCAGCCGGGGCTCGAAAATCGCAACTTTTAAGTGCAAAAGTAGTACGCGAAGTCAACTTTCGCAGCTGGGGCTTGAAAATCGTAACTGCTGCGCCTGCCACGCAATTCAAACCTTGCGAAACCTCTGCGTTGCCGTGCCAATGGTCCCGGCGCCGCCCCCGTCCCGAGACCGTCCCGAGACCGTCCCGAGCCCGTCCCGCACCGGTCGTCCGTCAGACGCCGCGACTGAGGTAGCTTTCAGCCAGCTCCACACCACCAAACCCGCAGAGGGTTGCTCCTTTTCGCAAATTCTATTCCCCCGCCACACGCACACGCATGTTTTCTCTCGCGCGCCTTTCATTCTTTCTTCTTCCTTCCCTGCACCATCTAGCTTTCAATTAGTCCGTAGCTCGGAAGTTTCCTTCTAAACTTCCTTTGATGACCCAAACTAACCTACGCAAGTCAGCAGCGCCCAAAACCCAATAACGTTTGGCTCTAGCAAGATGGTGATGAAGGTTAATTTAGCCGTTTCAATCCCCATGAAAACAGGTTGTGGATGGCGAATGAAGTGACCCAAATGAACCTTAGGAAGTCTCCTACAGCCATTTAAGGAACATGCAAACTGGGGTCACTGACCCGGAATGACCATCCAAAGGATGGGTGAAGGGTGCAGAAGAAATTCGGGGTAGTGTCGACCCCGCATCTAAGTAGAACCCATCCTATTAATAGGGGGGTGTTCCCCTCCAAAGTTTCCAAAGTGATGAATCCCCGCCAGGGGGCCTGTTCAAAATACAATCAAAAAAATAACCCCAAGGCTATTTTGGGCCGCGTTACGTCACTTCTCGGTCGAGCAAATATCCTCAGATCTTGCGTCGCCGGGGGGTCCACCGACGCGTGAACCAAACCTATTTGGTGAGTGCCAAATGGGCACGTGCCGACAAGAAGCAGCGAGACCTCAAAGTGGGTGGGTTAGATGAAAGCGAAAGTGGCCCCGCCCATTAAACTGCTTCACCCCACGAACATGAGATTGTCTCAGACCCAAAACATGGTCAGTTTCCTCCTTAAAAAAAAAGAGGTCCACCCTAACTGGGCTGTTCAAAATGGAGTGTGGGACAATCAAACTCCTGTACTTGTATTGGAAAACCACTCACTTTGTGGTCCCCTTCTCTAACCCAAGGATTAGGGATACCCCACTTCCTGAGTGGATGGTTTACCACTAAAATGGTCCAAACCAAGTGACTCAAGCCCAGGAACTCGGAACCGAACAAACCGCTCAGCGGGACTGTGGTATGGAATCCACGTCTGTGATACAAAGGGCTTCCCTTTCTGACTACCCGGTTACCCCCCATATATTTTGGGGGAGATTCCCAAAAGTATCGCAGTGGGGGATAAACTTCGAGCGATCAACCACAACCCTGCCCTTTCGGCTCACTTACCACCAAAAAAACGCAATTGGGTTCATATAAACACTCTCCGGATTGTCATCCACTGGGCCCTTGCCCTTCTTTGAACGGGGGCAGGGAATTCGAGGGCCTGCCCGGACTCTGTCCTCCTGGCCATGCTCATCCCCGCCGTCCAGACCAGTGGACCACAAATGGCCCTTCTCGGGCCGGACCACCTGAAGTCGAAGCCACGAAGGGCTACAATTTGAAGACTTGATCAACTGATGAGAAATTAGAATGGATTTATTTAAACTGAATATCTGATCTTCTGAGTTGATCAACTGAGACATGAGCCTATCCCTTTACCAACTTGATTGTTGGTGTCTAGGCTGTTTATCCCTAAAATTGGCTATGATGCCTGCAAGCCCGTGCATGACAAGGTAGACAGATGGTGCAAGCAGTACAACCACTATGTGGCGGTTTAATGATAACGAATATACCCTCCCATCCACGGTTGCCATGGAACCTATCTGATCCTTTCACAATTTTTGCACCAGGTCACGGAATAACCTGGTCGAACAAATGCAGCTGGTTCACTTTGCAGGGAACCAGGGGAAACCTACCTTCGAAGACCCATCCGTACATCCGCTGAAAGTTACCTACGTTTTTCACTACTGACCCTTTTGTGCAACACCCCGGATTAATCGTCTTGGCAGATGAATCGGAGACTGTTGTTCTTGAAGGCGCTTCAAAATTACATGCGCAAACCCAGCAAAGGATAACATGAAACATCTAGAAACACATACAGCGGCAAACAAAAAAACCGGAGCGCAGCAAACTTGGCGCGGCGATCGCTTTCACTATGCCAAGCCTGGAGACTCGGATCTTCACTTCAATATGCATCGGCTCCTTGGGTGCCCCCAATTGGTAGTTTGGATTGGTTTGGGGATTTGATCAAATCCGTTCTTGTAGAGACATGGGAAAGCCTACTAGCGTACCCAGAACACCAATCCAAGTCACCAACTGGGGAAAAAAGGAGTTTCAAAATTAGGGACCCATCCAAGTGGTGGGTTTCCTTTTGGTTCCCCATTTAAACCATCCAACAAAGGGGGTTCCCCATATCAAAAAGGAGTAAGTCACCAACTGGGAAGCTGATTTCACTGGACGCCAAAGACCGACCCAGCTCATCACTTGCGCTGCCGCCAAAACCCCGGCATGACTGCCATTTTGTTTTGTTTGGTTCTGCTCTATTCGGCTCCAAAACTATTCCCTGGTACTAACCCCATTTTAGTGGCTCACATAAATTTGGGCTTGCCATTTGGTGATGTGAACCGCATTTGGATTGGGGTTGACGTCCACTTTTGAGGGTGGTTCCCCATTCGAATTCATCGCCATGTTGGTCCACAACCCAAACCCCTTGGCTTGAAGCAAACATCGGCGATTTCGCATGTGATTCAAAGAAGCGAAAGCGGAAACGCCGCTTTCGCGAACCAACCCGAAGCCCGAAGCCAACCCTAAACCGACCCGAAGCCAACCACTCCAAACCAACGCAAAGGCCACCTTAAGCTGAAATGAAACCAAGACCTGATAGCTGAGACGCTGGGTCGTGGTAGTAGCGCCACTCGTCCTGGCGGCTGGCGCTTTGCGATTCACGCAGAAGGAAGCAAGGGGGCTCGAGAAGTCGGCACAAGTTGCTAGTGGAAAGCACAGAAATCGGGTACCCGGAAAAGGCAGAAAAGGTGGAAACGTGAAAAAAGAAAACGAGGAAAAAAACTACACACCGAGTATCCCGAAAGCGTGCATGAGAAAGTTGATGCAATAATGTTGGGGTATATCTATGATGTTATATATATATACACTGCTTCTCTCTCTCTCTCTTTATCTTTCTCTCTTTCTCGCTTTTCTCTTTCTCTCTTTCTCTCTTTCTCTCTCTCTCTCTCTCTCTCTCTTTCTCTCTTTCTCTCTTTCTCTCTTTCTCTCTTTCTCTCTTTCTCTCTTTCTCTCTTTCTCTTTCTCTCTTTCTCTCTTTCTCTCTTTCTCTCTTTCTCTCTTTCTCTCTTCTCTCTCTCTCTCTCTCTTTCTCTCTTTCTCTCTTTCTCTCTTTCTCTCTTTCTCTCTTTCTCTCTTTCTCTCTTCTCTTTCTCTCTTTCTCTCTTTCTCTCTTTCTCTCTTTCTCTCTTTCTCTCTCTTCTCTCTTTCACTCCAGAAGAGAGAAAGAGAAAGAAAAAGAGAGAAAGAGAAAGAGAGAAAGTGAGAAAGAGAGAAAGGAGAGAAAGAGAGATTCTCCACATCTCTCTCTCTCTCTCTCTTCTCTCTCTCTCTCTCTCTCTCTCTCTCTCTCTCTCTCTCTCTCTCTCTCTCTCTCTGTCTCTGTCTCTGTCTCTCTCTGTCTGTCTCTGTCTCTGTCTGTCTGTCTCTGTCTCTGTCTCTGTCTCTGTCTCTGTCTCTGTCTCTGTCTCTGTCTCTGTCTCTGTCTCTGTCTCTGTCTCTGTCTCTCTTTCTCTCTTTCTCTCTTTCTCTCCTTTCTCTCTCTCTCTCTCTTTCTCTCTTTCTCTCTTTCTCTCTTTCTCTCTTTCTCTCTTTCTCTCTTTCTCTCTTTCTCTCTTTCTCTCTTTCTCTCTTTCTCTCTTTCTCTCTTTCTCTCTTTCTCTCTTTCTCTCTTTCTCTCTTTCTCTCTCTCTCTTTCTCTCTTTCTCTCTTTCTCTCTGTCTCTCTCTCTCTCTCTCCCTCCCTCCCTCCCTCCCTCCCTCCCTGCGGGAGTGCACTTCGCGTACTACTTTTCTATCTAAAAATTGTGATTCTCAGGCCGGAGCTGGAGCGTACTTTGCATGCTACTTTTCTACTTAAAACTTGCCATTCTCAGGCCGGAAGCTCGAGCGCTGCGCATACTACTTTTGTACTTAATTTTAACGAAAACCACAGCGAGAGCGATCCGACACGCACGATCCTCGCAGAGCGTTCGTCGGCCAGCGTGCTAATTCGCGCGGCGCCACAGCGAGAGCGATCCGACACGCACGGTCCCCGCAGAGGGTTCATCGGCCAGCGTGCAAATTCGCACGGCGCCACAGCGAGAGCGCTCCGACACGCGCGATCCCCACAGAGGGTTCATCCCGCCAGCGCCCGCCAGACCCGCCCCCGGCTAAGAAAGAAGATAGAATTAAAGGCTGCGTAAGTCAGACTGCGTAAGTCAGGCTGCGTAAGTCAGGCTGCGTAAGTCAGGCTGCGTAAGTCAGGCTGCGCAAGTCAGGCTGCGTAAGTCAGGCTGCGTAAGTCAGGCTGCGTAAGTCAGGCTGCGTAAGTCAGGCTGCGTAAGTCAGGCTGCGTGAGTCATGCTGCGTAGGTCAGGCTGCGTAAGTCAGCTTGAGTAAGTCCCGCTGCGTAAGCTAGGCTGCTTAAGTCAGGCTGTGTAGTCGGCAACCGTTTTTTCCCAAAGAACCCTTCGCGATGCTTTCGGGAAAAAGAAGAAGAAACAAAAGGAAAAAAAGAAGAAGAAAAATACAAAACAAAAGTCAATACATTTTTAAGAACAAAAACAAGTACAACAAATACAAATGTTCAATCAAAAAGATACAGGTTGAAGGTCCAATCCAGTTGCAGGGTAACCTTTTCGGCTCCGGACCTGACTGAGAGGGGGGTTCTTCTTGATAGCCCTTTCTGGGTCACACTCCTCAAACCCTTGGGCCCTGTGGAGAACGCATAGCGCCGGGCTTGTGGGAAACAACCTAGGCCCAAAAATCATCAGCCCGAGAGGGAAATTGAAAATCTACAGGGCGGCTGTGCATAACTACCACAGCCCAACGAGGCTTTGGGCCGCCGTGGCGCCTCCTACGGGATGGAGTCGACCCAGTGGTTAGGACCAGCCAAGAACCAAACGCAACCAGCGTGGTGACAAGACATCCTCTGCGGGTTGGGCATGCCAAGAGGAAAAACCTGCACATGGTGCAACCATAAATGTCTAACGAATAGTCGAAAAGGCTTGCTGGTATCCTGTTGGATGGTTGCAAACAAAAGGGCTCATACTGCTTGGGGAGCCAGACGGGGCTTCAACATGGTGCGTCCAAACATAGGGCACCTCCTGTTTCAATGGTTGAAAGGGAAACTGAAAGGGAGGCATCAATCTTTTCCCGAGTCCAATTCCTAGATCTGGAAACACCCCGCGTTTCCGAGGCCCAAACCTAAAAATGGGCCCCATCATACTGTGTCAATCGTCCTTGTGGCTCCCCTTGAAAATAAACATCACCCCCCCAAAAAAAACGGGCACCCGCAAAATGTCACCAAGAAAAGCAACTCGAACCCACCGATCCACGTGACAAAAAAATCCTAAACTCCGCGCTTCGGCCGTCGCTTTCGTCCTCCACGTCCGGCTCGTGCGCTTGAAGCTCTCGATGCTTCTCCAGGTAGTAGTCTTGGGCCCGGCTCACCAGACGCTCCCGGTTCTCCATGTAGAAGATCCTGGGATCGGAAGGGACGATGCGTCTTCTTGTTTTTTGCCCGCGCGGGGCGGGTTTTTCTTCGGAGAGAAGTCCGGGGGTTTAAACAAATGGAGAACCATCGTACAAAAACTGACTGGGTCTGAGACTCCCTCTAGAAACACAACTAAACTTCTAGGGGGTCAATCCGAGAGAAACAATCATGTTTAAACGGAGTGGGTCTCCTCTTTGCATGGGCCCTGTTGAAGCGAAGACCCGGTGAGTGTTGCAACATGTGGGTGGTGTGCAACAACTGCGCGCTGGCCTTTTTGGTGTTGCTTCAGGTGGCCCACCAAAATGTTTGGACTCATGGCAGGCTTGGGTGTGACACCAAAGCGGGGGTTGAGCTCTCCACCCAACCGACTGACTGACCGACCGAGCAAACGGCCAACCGACCAACAAGCCAAACAACATACAAGCAAAACGGACCAAACCAAACCAAACACAACCTTCAGAAATACAACAGAACAAAGCGCAGACAAACGCAACCAACACAATCAAACAAAGTCCAACACGTCGAAACAGAAGCAAACACAACCAAACAAACCCAACCGACCGACCGACCGATCGATCGACCGGCCAACCAACTAGCCAACTGACCAACTGACCGACTGACCAACCGACCCACTCATCAACCAAGCAACCAACGAGCGAGCAAGCAAGCAGCAAGCAAGCAAGCAAGCAAGCAAGCAAGCAAGCAAGCAAGCAAGCAAGCAAGCAAGCAAGCAAGCAAGCAAGCAAGCAAGCAAGCAAGCAAGCAAGCAAGCAAGCAAGCAAGCAAGCAAGCAAGCAAGCAAGCAAGCAAGCAAGCAAGCAAGCAAGCAAGCAAGCAAGCAAGCAAGCAAGCAAGCAAGCAAGCAAGCAAGCAAGCAAGCAAGCAAGCAAGCAAGCAAGCAAGCAAGCAAGCAAGCAAGCAAGCAAGCAAGCAAGCAAGCAAGCAAGCAAGCAAGCAAGCAAGCAAGCAAGCAAGCAAGCAAGCAAGCAAGCAAGCAAGCAAGCAAGCAAGCAAGCAAGCAAGCAAGCAAGCAAGCAAGCAAGCAAGCAAGCAAGCAAAAGCAAGCAAGCAAGCAAGCAAGCAAGCAAGCAAGCAAGCAAAGAAAGCTGGCAGGCAGGCGAGCAAGCGAGCGAGCAAAACGGCAGGCAAGCAAAGCAGGCAAGCAAAGCAAGCAAGCATTCGAGGAAGCGAGCGAGCAAACAAAAATGGCAGGCAGGCAAAGCAAGCAAGCGATCGAGCGAGCAAGAAAGCGGGCAGGCAGGCAGGCAAGCATGCAGGCAGGCGAGCGAGCACGCAAACAAACGGCACAAACAAAGCGGACACATCAAACCAACCAAATTTCTGCCAAGGATCTGCGCTGGGGTCAGCTCTCCCTCCATCTCGCCCTCTTGACGCTCTCCTAGACCCAAAGGCCGATGTGCAAGGGGGAGAAACCCCGTGGTTTTGCTAACCGCAAAGAACCCAAACCATCTTCGCGGCCCACCACATGCTAAAACCAGAACGAATCAACAGCAGGTCAGGGGAAACAGGGAATTATTGGAGGGAGCCGGTCAAAGAAAGCGCCCCGGCTGTTCCCAAATCAACTTCTGCATGGGTTGCTAGACTTTTTGACCAGGAAACGAGACATGACCTCTTGCACAAATCGATGGCCGTGGTACAGTAAATGGATAAAGCCCAGCTAAACCAGTGGAACCCATCTATTTCTAACCAAACCAACCTCAAAAGGACACCAATGGACACAACGCCCATGTTCTCCCTTGTGGTCAGTTGCGAGCAGCACTTCAAGCAAGGGTGAACCTTACGACCGAGGTGTTTTGGTAGACAAAGGGGGCTTGGATGCCACCAAAACGGGGGGAAACGGTTCCACTCAAAAAAAAAGAGGAGGGCTTGCGGTTGCTTTAAAGAAGATGGACAAAAATTGCTACGGGCTGTGTGGGAATTGGTGAGTTCCCACCCCTCAGGTCTCCTTCCAAGCTGACCGTCTGGCAAATTGGATCAAATCACGTGACATGTCCTGTGGTTGTCAAGAGCCGCCAAAACCCAAGTCCTATACAATCTGTTGGGCCGTAGGCTGTAATGGGCGCATTTGGGCCCTTGCGGGTTTATGAATTGATGATTGAACAAGTCATTCAGAATAAAAGCTTGGCGCTGGATGGACTAGTAAACCTCTGGTTGTTTATATCTTATGGGTTGTCCCCTCTTGGAGAGAATCCTTCACTTTTGTGGGTGACACCCCACCCAATAGCAGCATGAATTGATTGATCCGGCGTCCCGTGACGTTCAAAAAGAGGGTTAAATCGCCCATCACAACTGGTGAATGCATACAAAATAAGTAGCAAGCCCAGCATATCGCTGCGGAAAGACAGCCAAGCAGCCAGCTGGATCATTTTTTCAATTTTTCGAGGCTCCGGTGGCCGCCGCCCGTTTTTTGGTCCGGCCGCCCAAAACGCGACCCACGACTCCGCGGAAAACGCGCCCCGCCTGCGGCGCCGGTGCGCTCGGGCACCAACACTTCGATGGACTTCCGTACCCTTTCCCGCAGCTCTTCCTCACCTAGGGGCGATAAGTACCCCCTGGTTTGATGGATGGTACCTCTTGTTGATGGTCTTCAAGGGAAACCAACGGGAAAACCGCATTTGTGTTCGTCTTTTTCGGAGTTGCTAGCATTTGTTTAGGTGGTTTTAAAGGGAAGCCAAGATTTAAAAAACAAATGGGTCCCCCCCCCCCCGCCACCAAAAAAATAAATAAAGCACTGTCCTTGTTGGAAGCTTGGTGCCCTGAGGTTTTCTGATGCTTTGTGGGTCACCCCACTGTGGATGGCAAGGCAAAATCCAACGCACCTTGAGAAACCCTGCCGTCTGATGACTCCCCTGCATATACCAACAAACGTTATGGTTTCAACCATGGCTTCTTAGGTGGTGCGAGCAACTTTTTCGCAACCCCACAGTAGGCTAACACATACCCCCCCCCCCCAACATAGCGTTTCGCTGGGGAGCAGAAGACAGCTGATTGGGTCTGCCCTTTTTAAATGAGACCCACAGACAATGTGATGGTATTCTTTTGGATTCCAAAAAAAGACACAACAACGAGGGTGCTCTCAAAAGAAGACACAAGTCCAAAGGGGCCCCTTCCCTTTATACACTTGGCTTTTGACCACACCCCAAACACTTACAAAAACATACCCATCTAGGATGCCTTGCGATGAAAAAGGAGGCAACCTGAGCGTCTAGGCTATAGTGAACCTTGCAAACTAAAAGGAAATTTGGCTTGGTTGCTGTTGACCCCCCTGCAAGAAGTTAAACTTTTTGGGGGTTTAGTGGAAAACCCCTTGAAGTCCAAAAATCCAACCCAATAGCAGTCAAGTTGGGCCGTGCTCTTCTTCCAATCGACTTTCGGAGTTATTAGGCCTTGCGACCCAATTCAACCAGGTGGCACCGCCAAACTTGGGAGGCTCGGTCCGATTCCTATTTTGAAACAATCCCAGGTGTGACTTTGTTTTGCGGAAGCCTTTTTTTCGGTGCGGAAATCAACATATTGGGGATTTTAAAGCTATAGGGGACGCCGAGAATGGCGTTCCTCGTGGTTTCCCTTTAAGATTTAAACCAACCTGTTGGGGAGAAAAAGACAGCTATTTGGGTCGGTCTTCTTTAGGGGACCCCCAAACACGGTGATTCACTCCCTCCCAGAACGTCTTGTCGGTGGAAGCAAAAATCTATCACTACTGGACATATTCCCTCACTTTCATGATACTCGCGCTTTTCATGACCACTGTTTGGGGTCTCTTTCCGGTGTAATTCAGGGTCCATGGCCATGGCTTTCCTCTGGGCTTCCCGTTTTTTGAAACAGATCTGTGGGAAATGGAATCCACTTCTGTGATAAAAACAAAAAAGGCTTTCCAAAGACGAAGGCCTGGTGGAAAGAGGGGAAATGTTTGTAAAGAGGTGGGGAGACACCGCGAGCGATCCCACACCCCTGCTTCCAATCGAGTGGACTGGCAACCTCTTTGACTAAAAGCTGAGGGTTTATTAACAGTCTTCCTCCTGAAACTGTTTATTTACCACTGAAATTTGGCGACCCAACCCCACAAGTGACGATCAAGTCCTTTCACGGAACTCAGGGCTTTGTTTCAAAACAATCCGCTTTTGACGGTCTCCTCCCAGTAAAACCATCAAAAAAAAAGAACCACCAAAAAAACAACCACCCAAAAAAAACACCAAGAAAAACGATCACCCCCAACAAAATGCCAAAAAAGCACCAAAAAGAAGCACCCAAGAGGCGCCGACCACCTAAAAAAAAACGGGGGCCCGGCCCTCTCGCTGCCGAGCCGCTGAGCTGCGCGGCCTCCTCAAAGGCCTTCTGCCGCGCCAGCTTCGCGGCGGCGACGGCTTGGCCTCCGCTCGGGCTGGCCCGGGCGGGTTTTCGGCTTCGGCTTGGTGGTTCCGGAGTCATTTCTTCCTCATGTGGCTTTGGTGGGGTTTCTCCCGAAACAAAAAAAAAAAAAGGAAACTGGCGGGTGAAATGCGGTGACTCCTGTGTTTGGATTTGGATTTGAATCCTGGGCTTTCCTAGAAATGGGAATCCCCTCCGGAACACCACCAAACCAGCAATCCAAACCACTAATTGGAAGGAAGCTGAATTGTGCAATGGTTTCTTTGGTGAGGTCAAGCACTCAACCTCATCCTGTTCTGTTGGTTTGACTCTTGCTTAAGCTGTTTAAGGCCAACAAAGCACGTCAATATTGTTGGTTTGACCGTTTAGCTCTTCAGAGTCAAACACATAAGCTGCTGATTATTTGTTTTGTCCTTGAACCTTTTGCTGGGTTTGAAGCAACAATGTCTGACCCTCAAACAGTGCTTCACTTGATGGCTCAGGTGACTGCCTCAGCATCCCCCAATCAAAAACTTGACACTGAGGACCGTACCAATCAAGGCTGGCTCCCTTTAGGAAGGAAGTTATTTGCTTTAGGGGGGTCCTGTCATTTGTGTGGCCCCACGGACGGGTTTTGGTGAACCTTACAAGTTCAACAGAGCTCCCAAGTCCACGACTTTTTTCATGTTGAACTGTTCGCGGAAAAACCTTGACTGGATATATACACCATGTTTGTCCCCCTCGAGGCACAAATGCTAAAGCTACTGCTCAAGGGTCAAGGTGCAGTTTCACGCTGAAAGGTGGTGGTGTTGCACAGTCTTTGACCCCCTGCAAAGGCCGCAACATGGGTTGGTTTGCGGGGAGGAAAGGTTCAAGCTAGAAGGTGAACGATAATTTCAGCCAAACCAAAGGAGGATTTAGCGGCCCTTTGGTTGTGCATAGTTCATGTTTCAAACTCAAAGGTCCAATGCACGATTCTCGCAACCATGTCTGGTGAACCTGAAGGACCTCAAATGATGCATTGCGAAGAACCTTCCATTGAGATGGGTGTCATTTTCTATTGGGGACCCTTTGGTGGACGTATTCAGGTGGGGATACTCTTCAGGGGGGGTCCCATTAAAATTCACAGCCAAAGGTAGAACCTAGTTATATATTTTTTTGGGGCCCAGCAGTCCTGCCAGGCACCAATAAACAGGGACATGTCACAAGGGTCAGCATATATAAGCGCTACCATATATATATATATATATATGTGTGTATGTATACATATATATATATATATACACAAAAAGCAAAAACACACAACCAAATGTAGAACATAGTTCTAATATATGTACATATATAATGTGTTAAACAACACACAAAATGCCAAGGGCGCTCGCTGAACCGAGCAGCTTTGGCCGTCGTCCATCTCCTCCGCTTCTTTCTCCGCCTCCGCCTCTTCATCTTGCTCAGCCTCCCCCTGGGGCAAAACCCTCGGGCGAGCTGGGTGTCTGAAACTCACAAAAGCCGAGAAGAGGTTCCCCTAGCGGACATCTCCTTTCTAATAAGATAATTTCAGATAATTTCTATGGGATCCCAAAAGATCCATGAGAGCCCAGAAATGGAAACCTCCTTTCTTCTTCGCAGGGACCCCTGACAAAGACGATCATTTCTTCTGGATCCCACAACCATGAGAGCTCCCCGAAATGAATGCTCCCCGATTTTGTCTGCTCCTGGTTCAGGGGAGATATGGCGCCTCCAGCTCCGCGTCCATCAGCAGCGCCTCGTCGATGTCCACGAAGCCGCCGGGGGGCCCTCCGGAGGCGCTCGGCTTCTCGCTGAACTCCGGGGCGCCAGCGCCGGCGCCGGACGTCGGCAGCTTGCCCTGCACGGAACGCACCCGAAAGTGGGGGCAGGGAAGGGGAAGAGGGGAAGGGGAACAGGAAAGAGGCAAAGTTGCGCAGTTTGCTGCCACACTGGAAGGTCCCAAAAAGGGGGAAAAATGGAGGCACCCGCTGTTCAAAGTAGAAAGAAGCGGGGGCTTCAGTGCCAAAGGTTCCTCTTTCCCGGCGAAAGCCATGGCATTTGGGGAGGTTCCAGGACGCTGCGCTGATGTTCCCACAAAGGAAGCAACAAAGAAAGAAGAAACGACCTTCTTGGTTGCAGGAATCCCGCTTTTGGGCTTGGATGCTTCTGCTGAATGGCGCACCAAGGCCGGTTCTCGCGGCAATAAAATTAGGATCTCCTCAGATGGAAGGAGACCAGAGAACATTCCCTTATACCAAACTTGTTGGGAGTCTTTCCCAGTCCAGGAATCCAAGCAAGCCGCCAGGAAGAGGAAACTGACGCCCTTAGTTCTCACAAGACCTAGGAATATTTGCCATCCAGCCACCAGAAAAGCCGAGCTTTGTTTTTGCCATGTTTGAACCTCACAGAAAGCAATCACCGACCGAAGGCTGAAAACACAAGAGGCCGTGGTGGGAATCTTTGGATCATTGGAACATGCTTCAAACGATTGGGAGGGCGACTTTGCGGGTCTGACTTTAATAAAAGTGAACCCACCTGTCTCACAAATGGGTTGTCTCGCAAAAAACTTCAAGGGAAACAAAAAGGAAGTCTGTGATATTCTCACAAGAAAAAGGTACGTCCTCCTTTGCTTTTCGCTGGACCCCTGTCGGGTTTTCCATTGGGAGTGAGTTGAAGAGGCGGGCATTTGCGATTCCCCAAAACTAGCTCTTTTGCATCGGGTTTGGCTTGTTCTTGGACCTTGGCATTTGTTGACTCGGTCACTTAAAGCCGGTTCGCGCCGAAGCCCTTGGTCACCTGAGTACAGGTCTCGCGCGAATTTCTGCGCGCAGAAAGCCCTGCCCGCTCTGCAGGTCCTGGTTTTCGGCACATGCAGGTTTGAGGGACACTCCCAAAAGAAGTCCCCAAGCCTTTCGTTGAGCACTTCAACTTGCCTTCCAAAGTCCAAAAAACAAATGTGGAGTGAGACTCGGCACCTTCTTCTGCAGGTCCCTCAGCACGCTGGCGAAGGTCTGGCCCCCGTCGGAGACACGCCGGCACCCTAAGGCAGCCGTCGCCCGGCCGCTGAAGCGCCGCGGGAAGGTGGCCAGGCGCATGGCGCAATGGGACAGTCGGGGGTCCCAGCATGAAGATCTGGCCAACCCAGGAAAGATGACGTGTGTGTGTGTGTGTGCGCGTCATGTCAGAGCCGTTCCGGTTTGCGTTTGGGAACAAACCCTTCCAATTCATCCGCAGGGTTTGGGTTCTGGCTTGTTCACAGGTGGACCTTTCCCCGAAAGGTGAAGGATTCCTGTTCAAAATGGGGTCCCTCAAAGGGTAGATCCCCGCCTGATTTTGATTGCAGGGTGCAACTCATTGGGAAGCCGGATCACTGTTGGTCAATTTGTTCAGCTTTCGAGATGTACATGATAAGACATACAACGTGCATACGTAATATGATGTTTCATCGTGCCTTCAAATCAAAGCATGAAGGGAAACACTCCTCTTGCAATCTGGGCTTCTTTTGCAACCATCAAACAGGTCAGCTTAGAGACCCCGGCGTTTCCATGTTTAGTTCAGAACCCAGCCGAACCGGGGGTTTTGATATAGCTCAGCAAACTTCCATTGAGCCTGAGGGCCGAAGTCACACACGTTGCTCCCATAGCCAAATGGTTTTCGGGAACGCTACGAAATACGGTCCCTAACCAATCCCCAGTCCCAAAAGAACCCAGGGGCTCCAACGAGCCAGCGAACCACCACAAGAGAAAAAAAAAAAAAAACATGAAAATGATACCTGCGGCCTGAGCCGACGATGAACCGCTCGAACAAACCCCACCAACCTGCCCCAGTCCACCCCGACACGAAGATGCTCAACGTCAGGACCCGGCCACGCTCATCCGAGGCCGCGACGGATCAAAGACTTGAGCCAAATGTCACCGGTAAGCAACGTGCCGAATGACACTTGCGACACATGGCTAATCACACACCCCTCACGAGGAGTCCGTCTTTAACGGTTGGAGCGTGTCAAAACTCATAGGAGTTAAAGCTTTCATCCATCCGCAAACAGCCGGACAAGGCCGCAATCAGCAGTGGAGCAACTCCACAGACGTCAACACACCACATCCCGAAAATTTATTCCCGCCACCACCCCGCCCAATGGACCAGACCACATGACAGAACAAAGCCACTACCGTTTGCATCAGAGATGCGCGTTCTCATTCATATCAGTAGCTGATAATCTATCACGTTTTTGCTTGCTGCTTGCTGGCACCTGGGCCCGTCAGGCAGCCAGTTGGCCACGTCTTTGCTTACTGGCGCCTGGGGCAGCCAGCACACTTACTGGCGCCCGGGCCAGTAGTAAGGAACATGGGCTTGTAGAACTTGTCATCGCTTGTCATCGCTTGTCATCGCTTGTCATCGCTTGTCATCGGGGCCTTTTGGGTGGAAAAAGTGCGCAAAATGGCCAATTTTCGGAGTTTCTACCTCGTTCTTTTTCGGTCAGAAAACGGCTCTGCAGGCTTCCAGGGCTCGAAATCACGGCAATATTGAGTCAATATTGGTTCATTCATGACCACTTGACTTGTCATCAAATGTCCTCGCCGGGATTCGAAGCCCCGAACCAGGCTGCTGCAGAAACCGGGCTTGTCCACTGCGCCAAAGGGAGCTTTTGGGTGCTTTTGGGTGCCAGGGGCATGCTGCCATCATCGATGTCATCGTTTTGTTTTTGCCGGGATTCGAGCCCCAGAATCCTGCAAATCGCAGAGACCGGGCTTGTCCGCTGCGCCAAGAATGCTTTTGGGTGCTTTTGGGTGCCAGGGCAGCCTGCCGAGCTTGTCATCGATGTCATCGTTTTGACATCGCCGGGATTCGAGCCCCAGAACCCTGGCTTGCCCACTGCGCCAAGCTGGGTGCTTTTGGGTGCCAGGGACAGCCTGCCGAGCTTGTCATCGTTTCTGTGACAGATGTCATCGTTTGTGTGACAGCCGGTTTTGCAGGGTTTCGCACGGTTTTTCGGTGTGCATCGATGTCATCGTTTTGTCATCGCCGGGATTCGAGCCCCAGGATGCTGCAAATTGCCGGGAATTGAGAGCCCCAGGTCGGGGCTGCTGCAGAGAGCGGGGTTGCCGACTGAGCTTTGGGGTGCCAGGGGCAGCCTGCCGAGCTTGTCATCGTTTGTGTGACAGATGTCATCGTTTCTGTCACAGCCGGTTGTTTTCCGGCCTTTCCAGTTTATCGTCGATTCGATATGTCCGAAAGCCAGCGCCGGAAACTCCGGGTGCGATGTCATACTGCCGGCATCGCTCCCGGACTCGCTGCCCGGCTTCCCGTCTTCGAATTTGGGAAGTAACGCACAAGGACGAATGGGGAAGATCAAGCTCTTCCCCACGACCGAGTACACCAGCAAGCAACCCTCGCACCCCGTGGTGCCCCAGGCGCCGTGCGCCGGCATCCTGGGGCCGTCGAAATCGGGCAAGACCGTGGCGCTGATCAGCATGATTCTGGAGCAGTATCGAGGCGTTTGTTTTTTTTGAAAAAGTGTACATCTTCAAGCCCCGGCGTAAACATCGACGACGGCTGGATCCCCGTCAAGAAGTACATCGAGCAGGACCTGGGGGTGAACACGGAGCGCAAGCAGGTCTACTGGGACGAGTGGGACAAGGCGGCGCTGCGGCGCATCATCCAGCAGCAGCGCAAGATCACAGAAGCGTCCAAGAAGTTGGAGATGAAGAAACTGTACCAGGTGCTGATTATCCTGGACGACTACGCTGATAGCCCGCAGCTCCACAAGCCCCACGGCGCGCTGGACACGCTCGTCCGAGGCCGGCACATGCAAATCAGCACCTGGGTGAGCTCCCAGCGCAGCCGTGCGGGTCAACACGCAATTCCTCTGCTGCTGGAGGCTGCGCAACCAGCACGAGCTGGACGCCGTCGTCGAAGAGCTGAGCGCCCTGCTGCCGAAGGACAAGCTGTACCGGATGTACGAGCAGGCGACCCGGGAACCCTACAGCTTCCTCTTCGTGTACTACCTGCAGCGCGCTTCGCGCTTCAGAAAGACTCCGCTTCCTGGGCCAGAAGCTGTTCGCCAGCTCCACTTTTTTCCTCTTTTGCCTTCGCGGTCATTGCCGCAGCTCAAACCCCTGGCCGTAGCAGGTTAGCCGAGCCAAATCGAGTGAGACAACCCGGATTGTGGCGGGTTAGCCATGAATCCATTTGGAGAAGACGGCGTCAGCAGAAAGAAGAAAAAGCCAACCAACCCCCCAAAAAACGCCGTCAAATTCCCACACTTCTACATCGCATTTCTTCGTGCCGCTCTGACTCTGTTGAGTAAGGAAGTTCTGGCCACCGGGCCCAAGATCTCATCGGGATTTGCATCGCTTGTTATCTCAAACGATTCCCCAGGGGAGGATGGCATGATTGCCATAGGCCGCAAGTTGTTCAGGAAAACCATTCTGCTGCAGGTACTCGAAAACCAGCCGCACTGTTTGCTCAGCGAGTCGCATTCTTGGTCTACGTTGGAAACCTCTGCATCTCCGCGGAAATCCCAAAACCCTCAGCGAGATATTGTCTTCCACATATTGCGTTGGGAAAATGTCATGACCATGAAGCCCCTGTAACTGCAAGATGGTCTGTCTCAGTTTGTCTGATCCGCCGCCCTAAGAAGAGATTTTAACTCCTCACAAGTCAATTGCACTTGACTCCTTGCGCTTGCAACTTGCACTTGCAACTTGCACTTGACTCCTTGCACTTGCAACTTGCACTTGACTCCATGCACTTGCAACTTGCACCTGACTCCTTGCGCTTGCAACTTGCACTTGACTCCTTGCACTTGCAACTTGCACTTGACTCCATGCGCAGCTCGCAATGACTCTCATGACTCCTTGCAATGACTCCTTGCAATGACTCCTTGCAATGACTCCTTGCAATGACTCCTTGCAATGACTCCTTGCAATGACTCCTTGCAATGACTCCTTGCAATGACTCCTTGCAATGACTCCTTGCAATGACTCCAACCTTTGCAGGGCTAAGAAAAAACAAAAAAAAACAGGGGTCCCAAAAAAAGGGGTCCCGAAAAAAAGGGAAAAGGGGTTTCCTTTGGCAAAGCTTGACCTTGCTTGAAATGCAACCTGGAGGCAAATTGCGGCGCATATCTAGGGGTCGTTATGTTGCAGCCACACGCCTGCACGCAGCGTTTTAGATGTCGAATCCTTCGCAGGACGAGGTCGTTTCCTAGACGGACAAGTGTCAGGAGCCTACCAGGTGGAATAGAATCCGTTTGGAAAACTCCCTCTAAAAAGAGAGGCGCTCTGCAAAGAAGAGGAAGTGTGCTCTGCAAACAAGAGGAAGTGTGCTCTGCAAAGAGGCTGAAGTGTGCTGAGGAAGTGCGCTCTGCAAAGAAGAGGAAGTGTGCTCTGCAAAGATGCTGAAGTGTGCTCTGCAAAGAAGAGGAAGTGTGCTCTGCAAAGATGCTGAAGTATGCTCTGCCAAGAAGTCTGCTCTGCAAAGAAGAGGAAGTGTGCTCTGCAAAGAAGAGGAAGTGTGCTCTGCAAAGATGTTGAAGTCTGCTCTGCAAAGAAGAGGAAGTCTGCTCTGCAAAGAAGAGGAAGTGCGCTCTGCAAAGATGCTGAAGTGTGCTCTGCCAAGAAGTCTGCTCTGCAAGGAAGTGTGCTCTGCAAAGAAGAGGAAGTCTGCTCTGCAAAGATGCTCTGCAAAGAAGAGGAAGTGTGCTCTGCAAAGAAGAGGAAGTGTGCTCTGCAAACAAGAGGAAGTGTGCTCTGCAAAGATGCTGAAGTGTGCTCTGCCAAGAAGTCTGCTCTGCAAAGAAGAGGAAGTGCGCTCTGCAAAGATGCTGAAGTGTGCTCTGCAAAGAAGAGCTCTGCCAAGAAGAGGAAGTCTGCTCTGCAAAGAAGAGGAAGTGTGCTCTGCAAAGATGCTGAAGTGTGCTCTGCCAAGAAGTCTGCTCTGCAAAGAAGAGGAAGTGCGCTCTGCAAAGAAGAGGAAGTCTGCTCTGCAAAGAAGAGGAAGTCTGCTCTGCAAAGAAGAGGAAGTCTGCTCTGCAAAAAAGAGGAAGTCTGAAGAAGAGGAAGTGTGCTCTGCAAAGAAGAGGAAATGCGCTCTGCAAAGAAGAGGACGTGTGCTCTGCAAAGAAGAGGGTGTGCTC